TTTGTTCAATACCCAATTGGGTTTTGTGAAATGTGAAAACCTCCATTTACAGAGGTCATAACTAAGAGAAGCCTACACTAGAGAAAATCTACAGAAGTCTTCGATTTAAAAAAACACAAACAGTGAAAACAGTCCAGCTCAGAAATTAAGAGGGTGGCAGAAAACTTGTTGGACTTTCCAACATTACATCATCAACTAATCAACAGTAAGAGTGAACTCACAGCAGTAAGAGTGAACTCACAGCAGGCAATCCACACTGTGCCTGAGCATGTTTAACCCCCCTAAGATCAGTGTGTTTGGCCAGTGTGAGTGTGAGAAAAACTGGGCACAGGTACAGTTCAGTTGGCAGGAAATTAGTGTATGAGCATGAGAATAATAGTTTTAATACAAAGAGCTTTTTAATTTCTAATTAACAGATGTACAGGTAAGGTGAGAGGACAGTGTGTGACCACTTTCAAAAGTCAATTAGAGAGAGAGAGAGAGAGCAAGTTTCTGAGACAAATTGAAGCGTACACACACCCGTTTCTTTAGGTGTAGTGTGAGTGTATGACAGCAGACGAGAGGGGAAATCCATGTAATGATGCCTGATGTGAATACACCCAAGAATGGTTCCCAACTGTGGCCATTAAAACCATATAGCTGGTCCCAATTTCAGTTCTTTAATGTGGCAATCAATCCAAGATATCATGGTTATGGACACGTACATTGTGTTGCAGAATAGGCAAGACAAGTGAAAACACAAACATCAGCGAGGGTACAAAAATGATCACAATGGTGTTTTAAGTAAACGCATAAGATGGTGCACTTACTTCAAAATAGCGGTTTCTTTTCGACAGTGGCCTGGCCGCCACAAAGCAGCCAACTTCATCTGAATTCCCATGATACCTACAAAGAGATCCGTAATAATCAGCACTTAAGTGAAATCGGATGCCAAATCAGTAGAAAGGTTCTCTTCCATCTCCCAAAGTGGCATTGCTTTTACCTGAGTACGTCACCATCTCTCAACATCCTTTTGAGTCTCTCCCGGTAACGCACAGCTCGCACCTCACGAATTTCTCGTATTCGCCTCCTCCAGTTTAGAAAGCGATAATGAAGGTTTATGTCGTCCATGTCGGAAAACCATCACAATCTAGAACACAAAGAGCACATCTGAGATAAAATAATTGGTTTTAAAACACCAAAAGTTACTGTAAAAGTGGACCACTCCACCAAATTATGAACAAGAAGTGTTTTTACGCTGACTCTATCGTCTACAAGGCACAGAGGTTTAGTTACTATATAACTGACATGAGTTTATGAGGAAAAATTAAATATAAATGCAGTCACCAAAAGTATAAGTTTGGGAAATTCAGGGGCAGCACAGGGCCTCCTTAATAAAACAGTAATGATTTCTGACCACAATATTGTGCAACCAAACAATGCAAAAGGCTTGGGTTTGATCCTCAGGACAAACCCTTCCTGTGAGGAGACTCTGTTTTTCCGTTCACATTTAATCCTACTTTCCAAAGACAAGCAAAGGCCTGGACAGGGACTTCACCCTGCCAACAGGCACGAACGTGAGCCCCCCCCCCCAATTGTGTTGGCCCCATGACGGACAGGTTTTTCCCGTGGGCGACCGACACGCTAACCAAACTGGGGCTGACTCAAGAATAGACTGTCTCATCTCAAGATTCACTTTGTCTCTTGCTCTCTTTTCTTTATTACGTGCTGATAATATAAAGGCAAATCACTTACTAGTAAAAGGATGCGAGTACACATATTTTTTCCTAAACTATACTTTATTCTTATAATATTCAGATTACTATCAAACAAGACAAAAAACTGAAACTGAAAAGCTTAAAAAGCAGGATCTTGAAACAGAAAGTTTTGTATTATAAATGACAAATAGATTTGCACTTCACCTGTTAGTTACCCAATCGGCTGATGTCTCAGGTCTACCTCGGTGATACTACTTTCTAATATTATAAGAATATTATAAGAATATTATAAGAAAGTAATATTCTCAAGTCTATAATCAAAGCCGTGCCGACTCACGTGACATTACACACAAAGTTATATTTTTCTTTTTTGAAATTCAAATTCACCCTTTACTACAGAGGTATATTTGTCGTGAACGGTGATGTGGATATTTTCTTTTCACTGAGTCAAAGGTGGATCATTATACAGACATGCGCAGAGTTGAAAAAGTCTGAAAATGCTGCCATACACTACTGAAACCTTTGTAAAATACGTGTCACTATCATGCATATAATATATATGCGTGCGTTTTTTTTGTTTTTGTTTTGCCAAAGAAAATAAATATGAAAGCCGTAAGGTCGTACTATCACTTTGTTTCCTGCCTTTTAACCACTACGATTTACTAATTTACGAGCCTTCCCCAAACACGACACTGCATTTCCCAAACTACAGACAGGACTCTGTTGGCCGGCTAGCTGCTTCAGCGCCACAACATTATCTCGCTTTGTGGCTTGTTATAAGACGTAAACATGGATACAATAGAGTTTATACCCACACTATTCAAAGTCCTCCTGTCTTATAATGATTCCTTACTGTTTTATAACTTGTAACGCGTCGTTCTTCGGCTTTTCTTCCAATTTTAAGGAGGTGAACTATACCACTTTATGCCAAGCCAGCGCTGTCGGAAGTCCCGCCTCCTCGACCAATCAAACGTGAGGATGAATACGAAGAGAAATATTTAACCTGCGCAGTGCCGTGAGACAGCGATGCCGTTTGTAGTTTTTTTTTATTTTTCCCCTTTTGATTTTACTGTTTGCGTTTTTTACGTCTACATCCAACTCTCTTTGCATATGATAAGAAAAGAAGTAGCGTGACCGACTCGACAATACTTTAAAAATAAAATAAAATACAATATATGTTTTATTTTATAAATGGCTGGTTTTGTTTTATTTGACCAGGTAGGTAATTATTTTTGCTCCTAGGAACGAACTCTGATGCGGAAGTATTGGTTTTAGAGCATACAAAACGATGTTGTTACCATTAGGACTGCATTCACCGACTTGAGGAAAAAAGTAATAGGTTGAAATAATCTGGATGCATTGTTCATCATCCAGATAAGGAAATCCCAGAAAGCTGGACGTTGCGTAACGCACGTATGGACTGAACCTTCCGGAGTAGGTTGAAATGGTTAGGTTGGGTACCCTGCTAAACATTCCCCTGCAGATACAAGTGGTCCTCAAACTGTGACAGTAGTAGTAGTAGACTGTAGCAGGTGTGTAGAATATTAATAAAATCTTTCACTTAGTATTTTGATTATATATATATATATATATATA